TTTATTCTTTTCAGTTCTTTTCAGTTCATTTCTGTTTCCTTCCGAATTCATCGATTTTCATTTCATGCCTTCCGTAAATTTTTTAACATAAAAATTTCTAACCCCGCACGTGTAATATCTAGGTTGACTTTTGACCTACCGGAATGTTGAGGAACTCTGTAAAGTCAGTGACTTTCTTGTTGCAGCATCCCCAACCCTTGTAAGCGTCGTGGAAGACGGGCAAGCCAGGGTGGTGCTTGCATGACTCTAACGGAACAAGCATAAAAGAGAATAAAGTTTATCTCAGTTAGATCCAAAATAATTATGGATTTTATTCTGTTTTCTGTTTTCAATATTACTTTGGATCTAACTAAGAAAAACTTTATTTTCATGTGAACTATAGAGATCCAATGAAATGATTCAATCAAGTATAAAAGAGCATTCACACAACTTTCAATTTGATGTTCATGAATGGTAAGTATTAACAAATATAATCATTATAATAATAAGAATAATAAGAAGAAAAAGAAGAAGAAGAAGAAGAAGAAGAAGAAGAAGAAGAAGAAGAAGAACATGAAACAGAAGAACAAGAACAAGAACAAAAACAACAACAACAACAACAACAACAACAACAACAACAACAACAACAACTACACCAGGGCGGGAATCTATCAAATTGGAAAGCGAAAATAGCTAACAAAGAAAACTCAAGCAATACTAGCTACAGCTGCTCCCCCACATGGCTTATACTCACTCTCACTGTTTGTTGTTGGGTCAAACTTGCATCCGCATCCTTTGTTGTAACACTGAAGCCAATTGGTTTCGTCTGAAGCCGGAGCAGACGTCATCACAGCAGCTGCACAGATCTGCAGAAATTTCCTTATTGTTATTTCATGTATTTATTTAGGTAATTATCCATATTATATATCATGGCGCTCTCGCTCATGGGCTCAATCTACTGTCTCCTGGCTATATCCTACAGGCTGAATCCTACAGGCTGTATCCTGAGTAAGCGAAGGGGCACTGCATGCAGTTTGCATATTACGCTGAAATACTACGGTTATCACAACGGCAGTTTAGACACTTGTAAACGGGAGCGCATAATACGACCCGTTCCTCAACGTACGTAGCATTGATCTATGCATGGGGGTACCGTGGACTGGGGAGGAGAAAAACGAAAGTAAAACCTTACACCGAAGCTCCCCCGACATTCCTAGAGATTGAAACATTATTTGACAAACTGTAATTAAGTTACATCATGTATGCTGTTTTAATGCCAATGGTTATCTTTATATATAATATTTTGTTACTCACTGCTAGTAAATAAGCAGACCACCAAATTTTTGTGCAGGTCCACCAACTTTCTGAAGTGGGTGGTCCTGTTGTCCACTAGATTTTCAGCCGAAATTCGAACCCTGACAAAAGCTTGACAATCCTGCTTGCCCGATGGCCCGGGGCAACCAAAATTCGCACCTGGGCAAGTAGCTTGAAATTGCACTTGCCTGTTCGAGCAAGCAAGTTTTTTTTATTGAATGGCTAGACATAATGAGATTTTTCTGTTTCCACCCGTACCTTGCATTGTTTTGCACAGACATAAGCTGCCTTGCTGCAACGAGATTTGAAGGAAAAAAACGATGCAAATGAGACAATCAGTGCATGCAGTCATACTTTATACACAACATGCATACAGCAACATGTAAACCCGGCCTCCGTGATTTTGTCACCATTATGAATGATTGTTGACCTCGTCGATTTCGCCAAAGCATAATCTTGACTTTCATTTGGGAAACACCTTTACGATAACTAGACACAATTTCTGGCTTCTGAGACATTATTAGAGTCAGTGCATCAAAATGATGACAATTTATTTTAACAAAATCATGCTATGAAAAAGTAGCTCTGGCCAAGCCTAAAATAGCTCCTGTAAAAAAAATTACAAGAGCTCTTTTTTCATACAAAATCAAAAAAAAGCTCTCGTCAAAATTTTTTAGGCTGGGGTTAGGGTTAGGGTGCTGGCTGCCGGGCATATAGCCACAGCATTTTGTATAACACAGACTGTGTATGCAGGGGTCGAAATAAGCGATGGTCCGATGGACCGGGGGCCATCAAATAATCAGGAGGACCATCAGATTTTCACAGTCAATGGTCCGACTGACCGGACCGTTATGGGTTCAACTAAATTCTACTGAAACAACTTTATTAACCAATATACTATTTAAGTGAATAAACAATTACTGTATCGTTTGATACATTCATTGTAGGTGAATAATTTCCATTTTATCACCATGTAAAATCTCTTTCTTACGCTTGCACACCGCATTACTTTTAGAGAACAATTTGAAATTTAGGAAGACTGTACCGTAGTATTTGGACGCTCGCCGAAATTAGATGCTCCTAAGTGCGCATGCGCGCATGCTCTTTTGTTTTTCTCTTGTTTTCTTTTTGTTTGAATCTTGTTTTGCAAGGCCGTAGGAAATAGTAGCCATGCTCTTTTGTTTTCTTTTTGTTTTGCCTTGTAACCTGCAAAACAAGAGGCGCCTGCGTGCATGCGCACGTAGGAGCGTTCAGTTTCGGGCGAGCGTCCAAATACTATGGTACAGGACCATCTAAAATTTAGAAGGACCATCTAAATTTCAAACTAGACGGACTTGGTATGTAGCATCTCGCGCTGCCCGCTATACGAATTCGCGCGCCGAAGGAGGGCGGGCGCGCGAACTCGTATAGCAGGAAGCGTAACATCGTGCAGTTTTCGTGAGACGTACACCGGCTTGACTACGGCGACCTTGGGTAGAGGGCATTTCCTGCTGCTGCTGCTTTGCTGCTCCAGAGCCGCAAGTCCGTGTCCAAAAATCGGGGCCGCAACACCCGCGGTCGCGTGCGCCCAGTCCCGCGGAAGTGCGCGGCTTAACCGCTCTCTGCGGTCGGGGAATAACGCATCTTTTGTGCAACGCCATCTTGTACCCGGTTTCTCTGGATGGTGCTGTGGCTGTGGACCATCACTTTTTTTCCCCTTATTTCTACTCCTGCCCTGGTATGCATTCAACATAAATATGCTGTAGACTGTGTAGGCACTGAATTGGTAGTGTAACGTGGAATGGACACTATCATCAATCTTTCACTAACTCACCAAGTTACATAGCCTTGATAACTGAGTACATATCACTAACAATACACAAAGTCACAAACAATTAAGACTAAGACTGAGGCATAATTCCAGAACGTTCCGGAAATCCCGGATTCGTCTTGTGATGTGACGGTGTGTTACTGTTATTGTGTTATTTGTGTTCATTCAATTCACAATCATCATCGTGTAAATAAATAGCATGCGAAACGTTACACATTAATATTTTAAGTGAGCGCTATAAGATGCTCGAGACTAAGAGACAGTACTCACGAAGTTAGTGATGGACTCAGACGAAGAATCACGCAATGAACTGAGAACGCACGAGAACGAATGCGGCCGATTCGATATTTATACTTGGCAACGTTGCGCCATCTTGCGGGGGCAACCGTCAACAGTTTAACATATATTTCAACCTATTTTTGAAACATCTGCACACTTATCGGAGTCTCATAGTTACTGAAATAAATTGAAAGAAGTACACCATTAACCGAAAATAAAATCGCTATCGCAGAAGAAATAGGTTATGATATTTCTGAAGCGATATCTCGCGAGTTTCCAAATCCTTGTATCATGCCGCCATATTTGTTTGGGAGGCAACAGAAATGGATCGCTTCCTGCGCGCTCGTTTGGTTTGAGAACGGATGCAAAGAATTCCCCGTTCGTCAAATTTCTCAGCAGCAATGGGTATGCTATTACTCACACTATTAACTGAGCCAGACTAACTGTCATTTATGAAATGTGCTAATATAACCTGTAATCGAATGTGAAGTTTGTGAATTCCAGACGAGAGCAGTCAACGGCGCTAGTCACTGTCACTGTCAGTGTCACAGGCACTTGGAACTTCTCAATAAAAATTAAAGATAGAAAATGTAAACACGAAATGTATTTACTACCAAAGTCTCAATGTTTCTCTACTCTATTTCGCCTATTATTGCCGATAACTTGCTGTAAATGCCGTTCAAATGCTCATCTGCAACACACAAGTACACCGCATGCCCGTCCTTAGATACAATAATGTAACCCAAACCCAAGAGGATAGGGTTACAAAGCCTCCCTATCCTTTTGT